CACACACACACACACACACACACACACACACACACACTAATACATATATAGAACGGCAAGCCCAGGGCATGTTACAGAGATGTATGAGGTTTTTAGTCACAAGGTTGTTTTCTAACAGTGTTTTTTTACTTCTTAAATTGGATATTGATTGTGAATTCTGTCCTCCATATTAAAATTCTTATTTTTGTAATATTTCTTACACACTTAAAACATACTACATATATTAAAATCATGTTTCTTTCGGTTTAATGTTTACATTTTGTTCAAAGGTCTACAACAGGCTATTTAATGGCAGATTTGGCAGATGTGACAACTTACCTCATATAGTGTGACAACATGCCCCTCTGTAGGTCAATGTGTGTTAAATGAACTAATCTCTTATTTCTGATCAATAACGATGGAAATGTTTGATATTTTTTCAATGTCAAGACTTTAAGGTTTATGTCTGTACAGAAACATCCCTCCTGGGCAGGGTTATTAGTTTTGTTACTTTAAATTAAATAAGCATTAAAGGGATAGTTCACCCAAAAATTAAAATTCTGTCATCATTTACTCACCCTCATGTTGTTCCAAACCTGTACGAGTTGCTTTCTTATGTTGAACACAAAAGAAGATATTTTGAAGATTGCTGGTAATCAAACAGTTGGTGGTTGCCATTGACTTCCATAGTATTTTTTTTTCCAACTATGTTAGTCAATGGCAACCACCAACTGTTTGAATTTTCATTTTTGGGTGAACTATCCCTTTAACTGAAATAAAATACAATAATTTTTATTTCAGATAGTTGTCAAGGCAACATTTCGCATTTTAATTTAGTTTAACATAATGCACTAAAACAACATAAACAAAAACTGAAATAAAAACGAATAAAAGTATATAGACATAAAAAAAAAGACTAAACGTTAGCTGAAATTAAAATGGAAAATAAAATAATAAAACTGATAAAAAATATGAATATAATAGCTATAATAGTAGCTCAATGATCCTAAAATGACACTGCTCCTGGGTTCCTCCATATAGGAAAATATTATGCAAGTAAAACATTAGGTCATTTATTTAGATAAACGTAATTTGTGGACACAACTGTGTCTCACTGCAATGCATGACAAACCACACAACAAATACAAACCATACTTAATTTCCCCACCAGCAATGCTGTGTTTAATACAGAAATACCAGAGTAAACACAGGACGAGGGCATTATCATTATGTGTTTCCTCTGACAGCTGTCAATAATGTGTGCGGCGCATCTGCACGACTCCGTCTGCACGTCACACGCGTCGAGCTCGCAGCGCTCCGATGATTAAAATGATTGCTTTACAAGTGGACCAAAGCAGCGCTATCTGCCCCGCTCGCCATTAAAGAGCCGATAGATTACAGTATTGATCGACTCACCCCGCCACACCTGACCCCAAACTTTCATATGAATGCAGAGATGAGCGGGCGATGTGAGTGTTTGTGGGCTGAGAGACAGAAAGAGCCAGAGGAAAATAAGAAGGGGAATATAAAGGGGAAGCTGAGTGTTTAATTTCCTTTATCAGGCGGGTGAACAGCGGCCGGGCGTGCTGGAGGATACATTAATTAACAGATTGCGATCAGGACCGCGGGGCCCCTGACAATGTGAAGAGGGATCAATAAGGGCCTCGCAATGGAGGTGCGGGATGAACGGGAGCCGCCGGAGATCAGGTCAGCGCAGACGCGCTCCATACACACAGTCAGAAACACTTCACGCTACACAACATGTGAAAGACTTCAGTGATGCGGGCTCAGGACTGAGTTAACGTGAGCAGATTCATATGCAAAGTGCACTGATTAGTGCATGAATGCCACATGTCGATCACGGCCGCCTTTTACTGGAAGGCCACGAGTGTCTTTGACAAAACAAAGCGATGCCTAAACATGACACACTGTACACAACTCATGCTACGTCCACAGTGTGACACCGTTTTGAGTAACACAGGATGTTAAATAAGAAGAAAAGATGAGAAATTATTGTTTTAAAACAGAATGGAGTCATACCTGAATGTATATAGATATATATTTCAAAGTAAATAAAAAGATTATTGAAGCATATTTTAAAAGAAAATACTATTTTATTACTATTACAACTTAAAATGCCATGTTTAATTCATTGTGTTGCTTTGATATTGTTATTTGTAATTATTTGTCAAATTTGCTCTCAATTTCTGAGTGAAAATTATTTTAAAAAATGTTTTCAATGCAGATATTATAAAACAGATTGTTATGATCATAAGTCCTGATGAGCTGCGTTTAAAAAAAGGAAATGCTGATCGACACACAATTATGATGCATATTTGATAAGAAACCTGAAAAGTTGCTACATTGCTTGAAAACCAAAAAAAAGCTTATGGTTAGGCTAATAAACTATAATACTTGGAGGAAGAATAGCTTATTCTGATTTAATATTGTTTATTCTGATTCATTTTTTATATCGTGTTTTATACAATATAGTTTCTTCTCAAAGCAGCTTCACATTAATAAACAGTAATTTAATAGATCACGTTATAAAATTCATCAATTAAGCAGCAGCTCTACAGAAGACAACAGTGTCATTATTGAGTTTAGTTCACTGTTGATTCAGTTCAGTTTAATAACAGTGTTGATCTTGCAAAGTTAGCATCGTTATTCAGTTCAAATTTAGTTCTCATTCAATAGTTCAGTACAGTTAAATCAATAATATTACTGATTATTAATATTAATGGTATTGTAAACCCCAAATGTAAAACACTTTACTGAATATTAGTGTCTTTTATCATTTTGCTTTGTTTCAGTCACCGACTTATGTACACTAATGTTTGTTGGAAACACAACAGTTTATGAAGCCGAGTGCTGACTTCTCTTCAAAAGGGATTTTTACTTTATACAAATCTGCTTTGACACAGTTTCTCATGTCCATTTACTCATGTTGAAATGTTTCTGAAATCTCGGTGGTTAACAGCTGCCATTGTGATCTATCTTAAGCACTAGTAAAAAATGTAATCAGTTTTTAGCTTGATTTTATGCAGCCCAATAAAATTCACTGCTGGAAACATCTTCTGTAACAAAGACAAGCTCGGCCACCTCCCCGTGATATATTTCACGCTCGCTAAATCAAAGCCAGCAATTCTGAAAATAGACAAACGCCGAAACCTTCGCAAAAAGGCTTTTTATGACTCTGGCAGCCTTTTATAAACAAAATAATCATAAAAAACGACAAGTTTTAATCTGCCTGCATTCACAAGCTTATACTTGAAGATTTATCCCTGTCAGTTTATGGCTCTGGTCTCCTCCTCCTGATGGTTTGTTGGAGGAGTTTGTGTGAGTTTCACTGTCAATCAACAATCCTCTCTCCAATGAAACTCTACATGACACTGAAAATAACCATAAATCATTATTAAGACATCTGCATTATGCACATATCATGCCGTGCCAAAGTATATTTGGTGGATACGGAGTCCATCTGTGAATTTAAGGTGATTAGAGCACCTTATTCTCAGAGGAGAATATTTACAAGTCATATGATGACGTCACGACCCCATCGGCCGTTAAACAAGTCTTGCTTGTTTTAATTAGGGCCAGATATCAAAAGTGAATAGAATACAATTTTAACATATATATATATATATATATATATATATATCACCATACTTCCTCAGCTAATTAATCAGAACATTAAGACAATGTTATGTTTACATATACAAATCATTTCATATACAGTGAATTTATAACAGATAAGGGGCTTTGTTAGGTACGACGTGAAGCGGAGATATAAAACCCCCTTAGCTGTTATAAATTCACTGTAAACCACAGCTTCACGGAGATTATTGCTTTTATAAAACGGTTATTCACATATACGTAGTAAGGTTTCACAAAATAAAACAGAGCAAATAAAGTGTAAAGATATTAATAAACACAGTATTCTTCCACCAAACAATGTAGCTCCTCAGAAACAGCTGTGGTTTGGTTTGCCGAGCAACACACAGAACTAAACAAAGGTGTGTGTTACTTTGTAGCGTCATTTACAACAGCTTTGAACGCGGCTCAGCCAATCAGAATCAAGCACCGGAACTCTCCGCTTTATTAAACAGGATAAGGCCATTTTGATTCTTCTGACAGCTGTCTATAGCGTGTGCTCCACGAGCCGTTTACACATCACACGATCGCTCCGATGTTTAAAATGATTGCTTTACAAGTGGACTAAAGCAGCGCTATCTGCCCCGCTCGCTATTAAAGAGCCGATAGATTACAGTATTGATCCACTCACACGCCACACCTGACCCCTAACTTTCATATGAATGCAGAGATGAGCAGGCGATGTCTATCTGCCACCGGCTGACGCTCGGGAGTGTTTGTGGGCCGAGAGACA